GTAGTCCTGAAGTATGAGCTACCTGTGCTCTTGGTAAAGATTATCAGCCTAAAGGTCAACCCTCAAAAATATAGCTAAAGAGAAATTTTCCATCAGTGTTACAGTCTCCTCTTTTTAGCTAAAAGAATCACTTTGCCACGTGACTGTAGGTGTTTCACATAGCTTTTAGTGGAAAAATGGTTCTTTCCTCCATGGCTTCTGAGACATCAGCAATTTGTCTAGTTTGCTGATAGGGATTTGTGTCCTCTATGATCCGCTGATAAAAAAAAATATATATAAGAATGAAAAGCTCTTGCTTTTGATATCACAAAAGCACTGAAATGGCAGGGGATTTCAGAAATAATTTCAAATCTTTCAAATTGAAATATCACTCAGACTTTTTCAGACCAAAGTTAAAGTAATAACAAAACAATAATAATATAGCTAAACTTCTTCCATTTTGAAACTGCACATCTGCACATGATAGAACTGTGCCTTAGAGTGACATTAATACATGAAAGGTCCTGTGCAGCATCCTGATTTCAAGAAAAGAAACTGAATTGAGAGGGACTATTCAAAGAAGCAAGTATTTGTCCACAGAAGCAGATGTTACACCTTTAGTATCCCATGAAATTGGATGCACATTACATGATGCATATGAACGTATGAATTTTTAATACAGATGAGGTGTGCTATATGTTCAAGTGACTCCAGGCCAGTTTTTTAACTGATGAAAAAGGTTCACATGCTGATGAATATTTAGGTAGCAAAAGTCGCAGATAAATTTGTCACATGATTTTCAAAAAGGATCTGGCATAAAATTAATTTATTTAAATTTCATCACATTAGTTTCCTGCACCTTTAGAGGCTAAACATTCCATTTGAAATCTGTCTTTTAAACATCAATCCACTGTGTGAAACTGAAGTTCTGAAATAGATGTAAAAGACTTTCTCCACAGAACAGTAATAAGAAACTGTAAATATAATTAGGAATATTTATCAAAAAGTAATTTAATCCACACCTTACTTGCCTCCAGTTCTTCTTACACAACAGATTACATAGCAGTCACTTTTTAAAGTGCTACAAGAATAGCAGTCACTCTTTAAAATGCTACAAGAAATGTAATGTAAATGTATATTTTTATATCAAATCTCTATTTTACACTGAAAACATAGCAGCTCTACTTGAATATAATGCAATTATATGATTTCGTAGAGAGTATCCCTTGCTTGAAGCCTAACTGCTGCAATTCTGAGGCAGAACATCCTACCTCAAAGCTTTTCTATCAGAACAGCTTTGGAGCTAACTCCCACAAATGTTCAGGTAGTGAAACTGCCTTCAGTCAGCCTTCTCTTACAAAAAAAAAATATGGACTATTTAGAAATTTATTGACTTTAAAGAAGTATTTAGAAGCTTAATGACTTTATAGATTGAATCTGTGATCAGTGGACATTTTCACAGTAGAACCCCTTGGCTGTTACTCATTTTCTGTAAAAAAAAAAAATTATTTTGTTTCTCTCTGATGATCTAAATTATCGTATTGGATGGATGCAGGGCCAGAGGATCCATCCCTGGTAACAGTATTTCAAAATTTTTGCAGCTTCAACTAAAACTTTATTGACAGCTCCTGGATAAGCAACTAAGCTCGAGAAGCATTGTTGTAGGATATTACAGAATCAGAGAATGGCCTGGATTTCAAGGGACATTAAAGATAATCTAGTTGAAACTCATCTACCATGGCAGGGACATTGTTCATTAGACCAGATTTCCCAGAGGCCCATCCAACCTGGCCCTGAACACTTCCAGGGATGTGGCATCCACAACTTCTCTGGGCAAACTGCTCTAGTGCCTCACCACCCTCACTGCAAAGATTTTTTTTTTTTAATATTTAATCTAAAGTTACTCTTTTTCAGTTTGAAGCCATTCCCCATTGCCCTGTCCCTACATGTTCTTGTAAATAGTTTCTCTCCAACTTTCTTCTAGGCTTCCTTTAGGTATTTGACTTGATGTCATCATTAATCTATATTGGGATTGGGTGTTTCTTAGATACAATAATGTTACTGGGGTGATTAAACAATATTACAGCAGAATTTTATAGGAAAGCAAAAATTTTGCTCTTCAAAGCAATCTGAGTGAGGCATGGCTGTGGGGCTGTGGTATTTTTCCAAAATCTATCTCTTTAACTGTCAGTACCTCTAGAAAGGCAAACTGTTCAGAGACTTAGCCTGGATTTTGGAGGAGCTTTTCCTTATATTTTCTGTGTCACCTCCAGCAACTCAGTCTCTCAAAGTTTCAGATACCCAGCTGTTAACTGGAAATCAAAGTTAATTTACTTCTCCATAAGGGTGTTGTGATGGTTATCCATTAGAAACTGTTCAGTGTTCAAAAACTATGGTCCTAGCATACGTAAATATCTATGATACAATGACTACAAAGCAATGTGTATAAATTGTGTCACAAAATGAAGCTTCTGACAAGTTTGTACAGCTGTGCAAAAAAGGACTCACCATGGTAGAACACTACACACCAAGTTCAAAGAGTACAAAAAGCAATAAAGGAATAAATAAGCCCTTTTCAAACATGACTTAATTCACTAGAAGGTAACTGTTTTTTCCACTTACGACTCTTAAAATGTTCCTAAATGTACACTAAAAAAAGGACAAAAAAACCTAAATAATTGCACAACACACACAGACCAAGAATAGGTCTTTTTCTAGTTTTGTATTCCATAAGGCACTTCACAAGCCCATGTTTCAGATATAGGATTTATGTTTAGAAGGAAAACCACCATAAATAGTATCAGGGGAGGACACTAAAAGCTTCTTCAGGAACATCTCACCAGCATCCAGCATGCAGGAGGATGGTGCAAATAAAGTTATCTTGGGAAAGGCTCACTTCCTTGGTCATGCGTGTTTGGTGGTTGAAGGAGTCCTTGATTCCCTGCCTCTGTTCCCCTCTCCACACAGAGAAGCTGTGTGCATGCTATGAAGGGTGATGTGATTAGCTGGGTTGGGATTTCTTGTGTTTGTTTGCCCCATGTAATAATTGGTTCAGCCTAAACCCAAAATTTTGCTTCCTCTGAGTATTTACTGGGTGAAAAAGACACTATATCTCCATGTCTATATTACTCTGTAGCCTGTTAATTTTTAAGACTTGTATAATAAAAGATGGTTGAGTTTAAGTCCCTGATCCAATAAATGTTTATGTACAACAGTGTGTAGCAATGCCAACATGTGAGATTTTAATCAACTCACATTCCTGGCTAAAAAATTATCTTGGAATCTGATTAATGTGGGATTAAATCCCCTTAAGTAGAAGACACAAATCCTACAAATCCTAACTGAATACCTTAAGCAGCAGCTTGAATGGTGAATAGTACATCTTCCATGATGATTTTATGAAGGCTATAAATTTATTCCGTCTGAAACTACTCATTATTGGCTTCAGACTGTTTTTCTTCCTGGGGAGGTGGGGGAAAGCCAGGGAAAATATCAATCTACTCCAAAGTTAAAGTGCCATTTGTATATTCCTTTGAGAGGACAGACTGCAGCTATTACAGGCCCCTTTTGAGCCCACATAAATGTGTGTGCACATATAAATTTTTTCTTGTGCATGTTCTAACCTGTATTTTGGCATCACATTTTTCCCACAAGAATTGAAGATTATTTTTCAATTACAGCTTTATCAGGACATTGCAGTACTGGGGAATAAAAAATTCAGGTCCGCCTTCCTACAGCTTGTAAGTTTTGATATCTGCAAAAGTGATTTAATTTTCAGAAGCATTGATCCTCTAATTGCCTCCAGCACCTTACAATTTTTTCCACAACAAATTAAAAGCCTGTGTGCAAAAATCCTGGTTCTTTGCCTCACAATAAACTTCCAGGCTATCAGAAAATACTAGTAAGTATATTGCAGATGATTTAGGAAACGCAAAGATTTTTCAATGGAAGATTTTATCTGAGGAATATAAAAGAAATACATGACATTTCAAAAGAATTACTAACCCTAACAGTTTGGGAATTAGTGTGCGAAGTCATGAAAATTCTATAAATACAACCTACAGGCTGGACGATACTGTACTAAAAAGAGTTAAAATCCCAAGATTAGTTTAAACAATTGTTGTATATCAATTGAATCAGAATCATTAACAAAATAGGAGGGCAAAGGAAAACCAAATTTACAGTTGTCTGCTGTGCTGCAAAATAGTGACCAATACACTTACTTTTAACCTAAGAAGGCAGTGTTCTACCTGAACATAGTATTTCATAACAACAAGAACTGCAAATTTTTATACTCCTTATATGAAACAAGAGTCAAACCCAACCTTTTAGGCAAATGACTGTGGTATTGCTGATAAATAACAGGTTGCATCCACTTATTCATGTCTCTACTCTTCCCTTTCGGTGGTGACACCAAAGATGGGAGCATTCAGGAATCCTTTTATGCCTATCAGGCTTCAATTGACCCATTTAATGCCAATTCTTAGAGTTAGATTTGCCAAAATCTGTCTTCCCAGACTTTAGAAAATGGGGATTACCTATATAATATTTCCCCCTCTGCTGCCTTCAAATATCTCTTGCTTTGTTTTAAATCAAATAAAGGAAATATATGAGCGCTCCTGTTCTTCAAAATATCTATTAAGTTTTAAATGCACGCATTTAAAATATGAAGCTTTTTACTATCAGCTCCTAATTTCACTGAACCAGTGTATGGAGGAACTGAACACCAACCTTATTTTGAATCCTTCTTTCTCACTTGCCATTTCACTTACTCTGTGCCTCAAAGCATTTGGCACTTACCACCACCCTATTATAATTTCTGTTTTTTAGCCATGCTATTGAAATAGCATTACCAAAATTACTAAAATATCTATCAAGTTTAATAAAGCAGCATTGGTTATCCAAGTGATTTTTAACAAAAATTAACAAAAAATTAACACAGTTAATATTTTCTGGTTTATTGACACTATTTTCCATACTTCAGGTGCAAAACATCGTATATAAAAGTAAAAATAACATACCAAAATCCACAAGCTTAACTCCTCCTTCGGTGGTCAAAAGGATATTATTTCCCTTAATATCACGGTGGATAGTTTTGTTTTCATGCAAGTGCTGAAGTCCCTGGAAGGCGAGATGCAAACATGAATTTTTAACAACAGCTCTGTCCTCCACACCACATTTGCAGAAACAACAAGGTAGTGGAAAAGTATGAAAAATACTTGAATTTTTTTTAAATCCAAAACAACAAGGATGTCATTCTTACTGCAAAACTACTTGCCACATGACAAGGAAAAATATTCTTTCATTGCCCCACTTTATGACAAATTGAAATTTTAAGATGAAAGCAGAAAAATATCGCTATAAACCTACCTATAATATCTTTAGAGCACAAACTCAAAGAAAACTACTAAGACCTAAATTCCACTGGAGAAATTAAAATTTCAGTTATGAGAAAATTATAAATCAAGACAGTTGACCCTAATGAGCAGAACCAAATTCTTGTAGCAGGGCTTGAATTTGCTAGATATGCGGATTATTTTACTATAAAAATATTTTGGATCCAGACATAGGAGGCTGAACAGTATTTTGATGGTATTTCTGCTATTTCTTAAAAGAAAAGCAATTTTGATGCTGAACTGTGTTTACTAAGAAAATTGATCAATGGTCAGAAATCAATTTTCATTCTCTTAATGGTGAAATGAACAGATTAACTGCTGTTTACCTTGCTTGCTTAAAAAGAACCATCCTAATTAAACATTGCCTTGATTTCATTAAATACTGCTATAATACAAGATAGCAAGCTGTGTTAGTAGGGACATGATCTTCATTCACGTCAAGAGAAATATGAGCTGAATATTGACTGCCTTTTCATTGAAAGCCTATCTTACCATCAGAGCTTCACGTAAAATGTAAGCAATTATAAGTTCATTCATCCTTTCACCTCTCTTCAGAAATCCTTTCACAAGATCAGTCACAGATCCACCATTGCACAGCTACAAAACATAAGGGGAAATAAAAAGGAATTAAGGAGTGTTGGAGTAGCCACTTGGTTTTCATTTTCAGTATTTTTATCTGTAGCCAAACAAGATTCTACTAAACTGACAAGCCACAAATTTGTCCTTAAGTGTACTATTTATACAAACAACATACCCAGCAATTTTTGTCAATTATTTTTCACTACTTTCTGCATTTAATTCTTCTTGTCCAAAAACAAGTATAGTAGTGTATCTCTCTGTTTTCCTATATCCATGATTGCTTTTCACTGAAAGAAGTAGATTACAGTGCAATAAATTAGCTGTGAAGGCATGTTTTGTGAGGCATACTAATTGCTTCTTATGTGCTTCATGTGGAACTCACCACCAATGCAGATAATTACAACATCAATTCTCAGGTACAAAAGCTATGTACAGAAAAAATGGATTTAAGGCATCAGAAGACAGGCAGCAGAGAAATTTCCCCAGTGTGAAACCTACCCAATGTGAAAGCTGCCCTTTTTGCCAAGCAGCAGAGGGAGATGTGATACACAAGGCATGGACATTGTGGAATATGATGAAAGCACTGTGGAAAGAAAAGACTTCCACTGGAACAAGGTGTGCTGTGGGTGTAGGATTAATTATACTCTTTGTTGCATCAACCTTGTCAGCTCCTTGTTCCAGATGTAGAGCCACAGTCTGCTCTGGACAATCCTCTCCCACTCTCTAGAGAGAGCCCAGCCACACTCCTGCAAGCCCCAGACTCCTGCAAACCTCTTCATGTGGGAAGAAGAGACCTGGCCTTGCTCTCTAGAAAGGATAGTGAGCACACACTACCAGCAGATTAATTTAGACTGCAGTATTTTATATGTTCATTTTTATAATTTACAGTTTTTCTGCCAGAAGAAGCAACAGTAACTTTATGAGTACCTACTACTGAAGGAGTTACACTCTGCAAATATTAAATCGGCACTTAAGCCCTTAAACTATCCATAATTCACCTGACAATACTCATTGATTTGTCTCTGTAAGGAGTAGCTTCTTCCAATAAGACAGTAAAATAAACTTTAATTCTTACAAAGTATTATCATCCACTAGCTTTTCACATGAAACTCAATTTCCATGTAAGATATTTTAACAATGCAGCACTAAACAGTAATTCCTTTACACTACATTTGAAGTTTATTCAAATCAAGAGCATAACTGATCAGTAAAACCTTTCAACTGCAGAATTCTAGGCATCAGATTCTTTTATATATGCATATTTTTCATCTGTTCTTCTATACCCCTACATTTTTTCTGTGCTGCAATTTATAAAAGACTTGCACCTTACATTAAAAAGTATTTTTTTATCCCTTTGTACCCAAACACAACAATAATTCTCTGACTACCTTTGAAACCCCTAGGCTGCACTGAATTTTCACCACAGGAATGCCTACAGAAATGCCATTCAATACATAACTCTTGTTGCAAGATGTGTCCCCCATCAGGGCGTCAATGGCTCTGGTCTGCCAGGGGCTGAGCCCTATGGCAACAGTCTTGGAAGTCACTTAACCTCACCCTTACCCAAGTGGGACAATATGCATGCTTAGAGAGGGAAGAACTCATACACTTAAATGATGGGATTAAATGCTTTGCTGGATAAGGATCAGATTCCCAAGCAGGATTTCATTTATTGTCATTAGCCATGTTGGTCTGCCTTCTACACTGACTTTTCCAAGTTAGTTATTTTTTCATAATGACATTTTCTTTTCAAGGTTTCTATAATTTTAACTTTGCCACATCACCAACATATTTAATCAAATCAAAAGGATTATGACAATTCTGTTTAATTTAAAGCTCTTGAATTCAGAGCACTGAAACTGTATGGCAAGTAACAAACTAATTGTGAAATACGTTACATGTATGATATTCTTCAAACCATTTTTCTTCATTATCTCATATTATATTTTGCCTCTTACAGATGGATCTTTTTTCTTTACACAGCTGTATACTGGTTCAATGTAAAGAAAACCAATGCAGAAATGAATATATTCTTTTTGCAGGCAGAAGAAGGGAGAAACTACACCTCAGAAATCATCCTCTTTAATGTTTAGGCAGTAAAGCCAATACTGAACTTACTTGCCTGGGTGAGCAACACTAATTTTCACTTTCTTTAACATGTTGCTCTAATTTTTCTACTACTTTCATAACATATAAATCCTTATTATGGGATAAATATCTGCATTGTAAGATAAAACTTACATAAAATATCAGATAACGTAAGATACTAAAGCTATGATTATTTTAGACCAAAGGAAAACTGAACCTCGGTATGTAAAAGGTCAGCTAAACAGGTCTTGAAATAAAGATCCCAGAAGTCATCCCTACCACCTGGAAACCCTCCACAAACTCCCAAGGCAGGGTGATGGTTTAGACAGAGCACAGCTGAGGATGTTATAGACACAGGTTCTTGCACGCACTCAGGACAACTTTCCTTTTGTTAATTTTGTGCCAAAGAGCTATACTTTCACTTACATCAGACAATAAATATTTTTCTAAGACCACCAGCATAGAAGGAAGAGGGGAAAAAGACTGGGTATTAGAATGCAAGCAGCTATAAGGAGGAAAAGGGATTATTGGAATACCACCACAATTAGAAAAGGAGATTATAGCAGACACTGCAATACACTGTGTGGGAGGGAGGGGGAATGATGACGACAGCAATGACACAGGTTAGTATTAACTTTGTTCTATTTTTATCATCATGGGTAAAATCTTGTATCGGTCCTAATTTCCTATCTCTACTGTGCATTTTTTTGGAGGTGAAGCTACCACATATCCCTAAAACCTGCACATAACTAAAGCTGAAATGGTGATTCTCCTGGCTCAGGTTATCAAGCTGCATGTGTACTCAATCCAGAGTTATACACACCTCAAAAAGTCCCTCTCCTATCAAGTCTGGCTCTTCTATCTCAAAACAAGAAGCTACAAAAAGTTACAATACTCCTGCATGATACAATGCTGGACTGTGCTTGCCTGGGAATTTGAATAGAAAGGAAATAAATTATCCTTGGGGATGCTGATCAAGATCTTGTCCATAGAAACTTATAGGAGTAAAAAACCCTAAATCATTAAAAAAAAAAAAGGCACATAACCTTGATTTATACAATCCTTTAATAAGAGATTATGGATAAACATTACTTAGCGGTACTGCTAGACAGAAAGTTTCCTGGGGTGTTGTTAAATATTGCAGCTTATAATTATGATATCTGCTGCTTCTTAGTAGCATGCTGTCACAGTAAAAACACTGTTCAGCCTCTTAGTAAAGCTGCTCAGTTTAAGTTAAGCCAACTGAAATGTTTGGATGGTAAGAAATCATGAAGGCAACAGAGAGAAATTTTTAGAAAGATCTTTCTAGTTTTCAGTGAAGAATCTAGAGAAGGGTGGTGCTGGTAGCTATTACTTTGTTGCAAACATTGTGAACTTACATGATCAGTCTGTGTAATTTGCTCTATAGCATTTGGTAAAATCTTCTCAGAACAACTAGATGACAGGCACTATATGCAGAGAACAACAAATGCACAGAGAACTTGGGACAGACATACAGCAGGAGCTATGTGTCTGTCTGAGCTCTGCCCCAAGGCTGCTCCCTGAAGGTCAAAGCAACTCGCCAAATAAAATGACCTTTCACCTGTCATGAGACATGACCTCTTCTGGAAGGAGAGGACCATAACTATTTTTCTATCCCACAGTAGAAACCCCCACACATTCATACACATTCTCTTGCATACACAGAAACATTTCTTGTGGTTTGTATCAGATGGAAGCCCCCATTTAGCTTTGAATATACTCAGCTTGAAGGGACAGACTCTTGGAATGTCCAGTCTGTGAGCCATAGGAAAAGAAGATATTCATGATTGTCCCACAGGGAAATAACTTAGAAATGTCAGAACTTTGCACATGGGCAATTTTCATCAAATTAATATTGGTGACTTATTCTATTGTCCCCTTGTGATTTAGAGGTATTTTCCTTATCAGCAGTTTTTTCACTGCCTGCATTGATAGAATGCAAATATTATGTGCAAAAACAAGCAACTAAAAGGAGGGAAAACTGAAGCCTTGAGGGTACCTAAAATGGGGTGGAGAAGAAAAAGAGAGACTCTTCCTACTGTCACACAGCAAAGGATGAGAGGCAAAAACTCCCCACTGCAAGACAGGAGACTCCTACTGGACATAAATGAAAAATTTTCCCACTAACTTAAATTAAGTTAAGGGAGAGATTACACAGTGACTCTGTGTTACGTCCATCCTTGGGGATACTCAAACTTGAACTGAAAGACTAATCTGTAACATTTTAGCTAATAGTCTTTGAGCAATGGGTTGGACATATAACTTCCAAAGGTCACCTCCATGATGTACTTTTACATGATCCAGAATATATGAATTTTACAATATTCAGTTCCTAGTCTGGATTTTCAGACAGCAGAAAGAGTGGGGAAGAACAAAGAAAATCTTGCATAGCTAAACCAATGGAAAGAAAAAATAAATAGAAAGCTTTATTAATATAAAAATCTGCCTTAAAGAGCTGTAATTCTGATGATCATGCATGTACCAAAAGAGGTGCTTAGGAATCTTCTACAGTGGTAGAAAAGGGCTCCTCCCTTATGATTTTCTGGCACTCAAAAAGGCAAAGACTCATATTGGAATGACATGCAGTTCCCCACCCACCCATCTGCCACAGCCATGTGCTACTGTAATTGAGCTATTAGTATGCTAAGCTATTTTCAGCAAAAAAACTTAGAATAAAGTATGATCCTAAACCCATGACATGTCACTTAAAATTGCCATCACATTACAGTCATGCAGATGTTCTTTTTAGGTCTTAGTCACTCTTCAACTGACCCAGTTACACATTTCTCCTCTTGAGCTCTTCTTGATTCTGATGCCCATTGAAGATTCAGTATCAGCTACCCTTTTAAGAAAACCATCAGTTGCACATTTGCTAGGTCCATTAGAGCCTTTAATCATCCAACTGGCTC